ATAGTATGTCAAGCTCCTTAAGATCTTTTATCTTTGTTTCAGGGAGTGGTGTTTTTTTGTTTATATTCCGTTCACAAATTATTGATAGCACGAAATATGCCTCAAATCAATATTAATAATGTTTTAATACTAATATATTTAGCAAAAAACAATTAAAACTTTCACGGCTAATCTTGGTTATTATATTATATTAATAAAAATAAGAATTTAACCATTAACAATTTTGTAAATAAGAATACCTTATGTCTTTGGATATTTCAATACTAATCTTCGCGATTAATGACTCTACTAGAAAACCTGGAATTCATATCCGAAGGTACTATTCGTTGCAAGATAATTTGGATGGAATTCCCCAGATTTTTAATAATATAATGGGTATAAAGATGCTGGCTTTAAAGTTAAGTTGAAATGGTGATGTTCTTACAAACGGAAACAATTTTTTTGTTTAGTACGTTTTTATCGCATTTAATTTACTTAGTAATTCGCGTCTCGAATATTTATATAGGTTCGCATCAGAAAGAAAAAAACACAGTATAGCTAACCCAAACACAAACGAACACTTAAAGAGAGGAAAAAAGCCTATTGAAATTGATGAGTTTGCCAAAAATGGTATTCGAAGGAAAATTCATGAATTTTTTTTTAAAAAAGAAATACCACACCTAAACAAAATTTTACAAAAGGTTAGAGACGACCCGGATTTGCCTTATATCGGACGAACTAAATTGTGGCAAGTTTTGAAAGAAATAAATTTCCAGAGGGAGAAATCAGACCGAAAATCACTTTTGATTGACCGGAAGGAGATAATATGTTGGCGAAGAAATTATCTAAGATCTATACCAAAATTCCGGGCTGAAGGAAGGCCAATCTTCTACGAGGATGAAACGTGGGTAACTTCAGGTCATACTCTAAAAAAATTTTCAACCAACCTTCCATAAAGGCAAGCATTTATGGAAGGTTGGTCTAGTGGTATCTCCCCACCTTCTGGTAAAGGCAGTAGATTAATAATTTCTCATTTGGCAGTGAAAAAGGATTTGTTAAATATGGTTTGTTGGAATTTCAGTCCAAAATCACAAAAGACTATCACGATGAGATGACAGCTGATGTTTTCGAAGAGTATTTTTGTTTCGGGGTCTGGTATTTTTTTTTTTTTTTGTTTAAGCTTGTGTAAGCCCCGTGAATACTATCTAATCATCTTTGGTCCGGCGTTTGCGTACAGACACAGTTTTATACTTTTCTTCTGAAAATGGCGTATCATAAAATACACTCCTTTTCCACTTTTAAGACTTTTATATCGTGCCATTTTACTTAATTACGATTTTCATTTAAATTGAAGTTGGTTCTTCATTTATCTTGCAAGAATTTAATGTAAAACTTTTCAGATGTCATTTCTTCCAGTTGGTAAGGATTGCCAGAGTTTTTTGCCGTGCGAATCAAAGTGCAGTATTGCTGCGGTCTGTATATCGGACCCAAATTAATGTGCTTTTGGTTTCTCAATTACGCTGTGAACATTGTCACCCTCATTTTGAGAATGACCACGTATAAGAAATTTGTGCGTTATCGACGTAACTCTTTTTGTGACGACAGCGTAAGCAAAATTAGAAAGTTAATACTAATTTTTCTCTTGTCCACAGCAGTTGTCGGAATAGAACATAATATGGATATTATCTTTTTTGGATGTTTTTGTAATAAAGCGTCAATGTACTTCAGAATACATAAGCATATTTCTACAGCGCACCCTTAAAGATTTTAACTTTTCTGACTGGAAGACCAAGGCTGATAGCTTTATTAAAGCTACAAGGAAGTGGCATTTTAAACTTACTGAATGTAAACGATTTTATCTGAAGCAATCTATCACAAAAGCTGGAGACATTTTGGTGTAGGGTGATCCAAATTTCAACGTTTCAACTAAAGTGATTCGAAGCTTAACCAAAATTAAAGAAAGGTTATCTCATATCAATCCCACCATAGTTAAAACCAACAATATAGAAAATATCAGTCAGTAGAATTTAAAAGTCGTCAAAAATTTACATGAAATTCAGTTTAAATACACTTGGCTCCAAAATTCAAGGTGGAAATACTACAAAACACCTTTATAGTCCAGGCTGTGAGGCCGCTCCCTTTGGGAAAATGTTTCTGATTCGGATTCTTCGCGGATTCCGGTTCAAAAATGTTCCTTTTTAAACAAATCTGAAGGGTGCCGGGCGAAATTTTTGGGCAGAAATTGTTTAAACATTTTTTCTTAAACAAACTCCAAAAATATTTTTTTAATCTGGAAAACGTTTTTTAGGTTTTTTGGGTTATTTTAAATAAAAAAGGTCTCTTGCCATTTTTCTCTAAAGTTGATAGTTTTTGAGTTATAAGCGATTTAAAGTCTGAAAAACGCGAAAATACATACGCATTTTTGAGGCTTGAAAACACATATGTAAATTATCATTTTTCAGGTTACCAAGTGTCTAAATTGAAGTTTAAACATTCACCTTCAAGATTGTGAAGAGTAATCGGGGCTTATTTTAATTTAGACCGTTGTTTTTTAATTGTTAAATATGCGCGTACACTCGATTTTTCAGCCAACAAATGGATTCGCTCTTCGTCTATCAACTTCAGTATATTTGCTGGTAGCTATGTCTGGTCCTGTAGCTTTGCTATTCTTTGATGACTTCACCGCTTGCATTACTTCTTCTTTACTTATTTCTGAACCTGTCTCCTCTGGAAAATTATCACAAGGAGGATGCCTTTGATCGTCAAACAGTTCTTCTATGTATGTCTGCCAATGTTTTAGTTTCTTCTCTGTTTCCATTATAATGTTCCCTTGTTGATCTATAAGTACTAACAGCTTCCTGTTTCTATTGTTGATCATTTCTTTAACTTTCTGGTAAAGATAGATCGAATCATATTTGGCTTCCTGGTTTAATACATCGACAACCAGACTATTCAGAATAGCTGCAAGCAAAGTTAGGATAGCCATGTTGATCGCCAACATCCGGAACCTGGAACGGATAGGCACCGTAAGAAGAAGATATTTGGCTTCCAAGTTTTCAATCTCCTTACATTTGTCTTGTAACCATTGTTTTTTGGCGTCGCGGATTTTTCTTTTGATCTCTGTGTTAATTTGCACTATACTATTCTTTACTTTTACCTTTCGATAGTCTTTGAGAATTCATCAATAACAAAATTTCGTGACACATCCATTCTTTCTGTTTTTTTAGTTTTTTTTTCAGAATATTTTTAGCGGGCTTCAGCACGTTCTTTTTAATAATGGCCCAGTGTTTATTAATGTCTAGTTCTTGTATCTTCTCTGTCTTTTCAATTTTTCAAGATTTGCCTGAATGCTTGTTCCTGATGTTTAATTGTTTCATCCTTTAAACGATTGACATCTATTACTTGTTGGGTTTAGGTGTTTGTACTCTTTTAAGTTTTATTCGGAATTGTGCCATTACTGGATTGTGGTTTGACCCTATATCTGCTCCTGGATACGTTTTCACAGATTCGATTGTTTTTTAATATCTGTTGTTTATGGTTTAGAGTGGTGACTTTGTATAATGTGTGACTGAAAAATTTAATTTAATCTAGCCAATATACCTTGTACCTCTGACCCACTTTACCAACACTTGTTAAGAGCTTTCGCTAAAACATATATTTGGCGAAATGCCATATATTCCCGCTATCAAACTCTCAATTTTACACAATATGGATATTATATGTCTGATAGTGGTGGGTTGGAAAACCGTGCAAATGCAAAAAGACTTGCAAAACTAATGCTTGCAACTGCAAGTAAAATCATGTCAACTGTGTACCATTATCTGAATGTGATTTAGATTTTTGTGAAAACAAAGATACTTTTACTGAGTGATATTAGTGTGTTATTTAACAATCTTTGGTACAATTATTTTATGTAACTATTATTAGACTTTAGACGAAATTTATATTATAACTCAATTGATATAAATGAATATATACTCAATAAATAATAATTATTTGTAAGTATATGTAAACTATGCATAAGTACGATAGAGGCGCACGGTAGCGCGCGGCGCCGCGGCGGCTGAAAAATCGAGTGTACGCGCATACTTAACAATTAAAAAACAACGGTCTAAATTAAAATAAGCCCCGATTACTCTTCACAATCTTGAAGTTGAATGTTTAAACTTTAATTTAGACACTTGGTAACCTCAAAAATAATAATTTACATATGTGTTTTCAAGCCTCAAAAATGCGTATTTTCGCGTTTTTCAGACTTTAAATCGCTTATAACTCGAAAACTATCAACTTTAGAGAAAAATGACAACGACTTGACAATGAGACTTTAAAATGGCCCAAAAAACCTAAAAAACGTTTTCCAGATTAAAAAAAAATATTTTCGGACTTTGTTTAAAAACATTGTTTAAACAATTTCTGCCCAAAAATTTCGCCCGGCACCCTTCAGATTTGTTTAAAGGGGACATTTTTGAACCGGAATTCGCGAAGAAACCGAATCAGAAACATTTTCCCAACGGAACCGGCGTCACAGCCTGGACTATTACAGAACATGGATCTATCAAGCGTGCCTAACCACGAAGACTCATTCTGTGGTCCACAAAGTGAAGAAAATTTTGCACTATCTGTGTAATTTCATTAAAATAAAATTAACTTTGACAATAACGACTTTTGATTTAACTAGACCTGTTTTAAATGACTTGGAGGCAGTGAAATTTCCATCAAAGTAACCAAAGTTACAGTATTAGTATCACAATCACCAATGTTCATTTTTCTTTTTGAATTTTCTCAGTAGATTCTTCACAGACCATAAAAAATGTGTGTGAAACAAAATCCTCAGTACATATTTACAGCAAATTATAATAATTAGGTAAATCGTAACCGATGTAAAGTTACCACAGAATTTCGCGGTTTCTGTAAAATTGGTCAAGATTGAGATTAGCGACTTTGATAATAGGCGATTCATATACGGTTTTCATATGCAGTGGACTTTTATTTTAATTTTAGTTAAAATTAATTATGCTTACCTCAAACTTGCCATGGTTAATATTTTATTATTTGTAACAAATCTTGATATAACAAATTATTTACTGGAATAATAGATTAATAAACAAACACTTCAACATCAACAGAATAATTGCAGTTTATTGTGAAGTGTCCCGGAAGCCATTGACTGATAATATAATTATCTTGAATTTATCTTTAAATAAAAAAGGAAATAGAAACAATGAAATATTTCACATAAAAAAATTATATAAATGTAAATATTGAATTAATAATTTTAATTGTCTGTTACAGTTGTCACAGACCACTTAATATATTGATCAATTACTTTTATTAGTATTTTCGGAGTAAGAATGAAACATGTATCAAAATCCTAAATAGTACAGTTAATGAAGATAAAAATCAACTATTACCGATTTTGGTGAACCTCCATTGATTTGCATGAAAATTTGGGATTGAGTATATTTTACTCTCAACTTCAAAAGTGACATATGCTCAACTTGCGCTTTTTGCATTTTAGGAGTGAAATCCACCCCTTTGTTAAAAATGGTAAAAAATGCAGATTTAAGCATTCTGTCATAAGTAATATCGATTAATTAAATAAAATAAATATTTTACAACATTTATAAGCATGATTTATGATTTTAATTAAGTTTTCAACCCTTTTAGCAACTATTCCTTAAAACGAGAATCATGAAAAAATCATTTTTTATATTTCTGATATATAAAATCGCATATTAATATTACTCAAATACTTTTTTTAATGTTTATGATATAATTTTTGATTGACTGAGAAATTTCAACCCTTAAAAACCACCCTCTTAGAGCAGAATCATTGAAAAAATAAATTTCAAGAAACTATAATTATTTGAATAATACATTACTGAATTGAAATCTCATTTACTGAGTACTAAAGTATTTATTTACTAATTGCGTTTTTTGCACTATTAAAAACTACCGCTTGCCATAAAAAGGAAAATTTTTTTTATTAGTTCTATTTTATCATTTGGAAACTTTTTTATTGATTATGATAAACTTTATTAATATATTCCAAACTTTATTAATATTATTCTTTCCACATTTCTTGAACAATTTTTTCAGTGCTTATGTGATTTATAAAAATTTAATTTGTTGGTTAATAGGAAAACGTATTAAAATAAATATTAAAATGTATGAAAAGTTCATTCATTTTTTATCTAAGTAATGTTTTATAAATTATTCAAATATTAATAATACTTTAATTGTTAATTTTTCACTCTTTATCAGAGCTCTCTTCACCAATTTCTCCTTTTTCATTAATTGGAGGGCTATTTTGGCAATTGTCCTCACTGCATGTTAAACAGACTGCATTGCAAAATAACCCTACCCTTTTTTGCAGCTGCAAAAAATCATTTTTAACAATTATTCCGGATCAGGTGGATTGGGATTTTTAGTTGCAAACAAAGACTCTTTAATCAAAATGTCTTTGTTTCCAAGCCATATCTGGGTTTATAAATAAACTCTTGATGTGTTCATCCAATGCAGCAACCGTTGGGACCAGATATGAAAACTTAAGTGCACTATTTTTTATCTGTTCCAGATAAGCTGATAGGTCTTCGATGCGTTGTAGTTTACTCATATTCATAATATTGTGCATTACCTGCCAGCTTCTAAAATGACATCGATATCAGCGGCTTTATTAGAAAATATATCGATCTTTTCTCTCAAATCAGGTCTTTTGTCTAGAAGATCGATAATTTTTTTCTTCCCCTTATTATAAAACGCAGAAGTCGAGTCACATCCAGAGAAACAATGAAGAATAGAATATATACTCCTATGCATGGATAATTTGGTTCTAAGCTTTTTGAAGAATATGTCACGGAGTTAACATTTTGTTTTCCAAGTTTCAAAAAATAAGTCTCTTCATCAGCTTTAGCTCGGGCAGTTAAAATAATTAAAACATCAATGTCTGCTGCTACTATAACTTTTGGCAAACCTGAGCCCTTATCCTTAATTGTTGTCTACTATTAATTCATCAGCTTCTCTTTTTCCTTGCTTGCATTTAATGGATTTTTTTTCTAGTTCCTCTGGCATATATTTTGTAAACTTAAATTCTTTACAAGTAACCTTTTGTAACCGACGATTCCTTTCTGCAGCCTTATTACTATCTTCATCGCAAGAATAAAAAATAACAGCATACTAAAAAGTCCCACTATATTTTTAAGCAGATATACAGAATTCCTTTCACTAGCTTCTTCTATATTCACAATATACATAAACACATCCACATATATGTATATTTCGTGAGCATATACCTATCGACACGTCTACTTCTTATTACCTATATTTTTTCCTATACCGGGTGGTGAATCGTCAAACGGGCCATAGGAAACTCAATGGGAAAACTTAAATTGTTGAATTGCTGCTTCCCTAATTATTTTAGATCAAAAGTCATAAAAAACTATTTGTAGAGGACTAAAATCTGAATTAAAAACAAATCTTATAACCGTTCTACGAATCAAATGTACTTCAAAATTTTGCAAAAATATATTACATTTTTCAGGCCACCCCTAAAAGTTAGGCCACACGTAATGTAAGAATATATACTTTGACGTGTGTGTTTTATCATATTAATGTCAGATGTTTGACAATATGAATTGTCAATTTTTTTATTTTATGATTAAATTATAAACAATGAATTTTACTAAATACTACTACTACTACTGAACAATATTACTTTGTGAACAATAAATTATATTGTTTAAAAATCGATCAATATAATGAAATGTACTCAGTTGACGAAAAATCGCATAATATTGTATTCAGGTAATAGCGCGAACCTTTTCCTGCCACTACCGGATCTTTATTTAACGTAAGATATTCTAACACACTAAAATTTAATTCTATGTTAAGTTATAGAACAATTCAATGAATTCCAATATGCTGTTACTGTAATTTTTATTCCTAATAATAATAGGTATATGATAATTTCTAAACATAAAACTATAACAAATGTTATAATAAAACATGAATAAAACATTTTTATTATTGCTCTTTTCTCCTCAACTGAGTACATTTTTTAATCAACTTAATTTTTTTTTAAACAATAAATCACAAAATTTTGGCCATTCAAATCATAGATAAATATAATCTAGTTAATTTAAATATTGTCAAATATTAGAAACATCTAAATGACAAAACGCAACACGTATTAATACACATTTTTTCACGGCGTCTGGCCTGACTTTTAAAGGTGGCCTGAAAAATGTATTATATTTTAGCAAAATTTTGGAATACGTTTAAATCGTAGAACAATTTTAACAGTTGTTTTAGATACATATTTGAGTCCTCTACAAATAGTTTGCCATGATTTTTGGTGTAAAATAATTAGGGAAGCAGGAATTCAACAATTTAGAATTTCCCATTGAGTTTCCTATGGCCCGTTTGACGAGTCACCACTCTGTATATACATACGAAACCTCTACTCCAAAAATTTTTCTAATAAAATGTTATTGATTTTTTTACAATCACTCCGTTAATTTTTATGATATCAGGTTCATTCAGAAACCATTTGAAAGGTAATTTCAAGGTCTATAAAGTCGTATTAAATTTAATATTTTAAATCCCTTATTTTTTTAATGATAAAAGGTTAAAGAAACCCGGTTACATTGTTCTCGCAGTAAAATTTAGGTTTTAAACATTTTTATCTCAGTTATTTTTTATTCTACAAAAATATAAAAAAAGGAAAATCTTTGTTAAAAAAACCGCAATTTTTTTTCTATCATTTTTTAAGTATGTTGAGTATATATGGAGTTATTCTAAAAAAAAATAAAATTTATGAAAATTTTAAAAATTCTGATTTTTTTAAATAAATTTTTTTTAATATGCATTCTAAACCGGTCAAAATTTTTGAGGTCATTACTTATGCTGAAATAAAGAAAGTCGTATAAGGATTACTATAAATTTTAATTTTTGTGGAAATGGCGTATGTTTTATTTGTCACTTTTTCCAAAAAAAATTCAAAAGAGTCCTCTTATTTTCATCATGCTATCAACTTGTTCTAGAGCTTATTTTATAGGTATTTCTGAGTACTTGAAAAACTGTTAAATAAGTATATTTTAGAAAATGCAGTGTTTTTCCGTTATTTAGCTTGAATATTCGCCGAAAAAAAATACATTTAATTACCTATAACTCACTTTGAATTAATACTAAAGGATTTTCAAGCAAGGAATTTATTCAATTTTTTATTAGCTTCAATTTTGGTAATGACAACATTTTTATAAAAACTTTGAGTTATTTATGAAAAACCGCTTAAAAACATGCATTTTTTTCACAAAAATTAAAATCTTTGATCTTCAATGACTAAAAAGGTATTAATTGATTTTAATAACTTTATAAGATAAATTTTGTAAACTTGGTCCCTCTATCGATTCCTGGGGTTACTTTTAATAAAATAATTTCCACCCCCAAGAAGCGGTGGCATCCACCTACAGTGTAAAAGCGCAAGTTGACATCATGTCATTTTTGTTTCTTAAGGTACCCTATAACTACTCACCAATTTTCATAAAAATCGATGGAGGTTCAACGAAATGGGAGTGAAAACCTTCAGTGACTGTACTGAAACCAAATTGGTCCGTTAAAAGAAGTAAATATCAGACATTCGGACGTCAAAGCAAATATAATATTTACTTAGTTATAGAGAATATTTATTTTAATTACACGATTACTAATCAAATTTAAGTAATAATTCATACAATAAGATTTTCTTATCATCCTTTATTTGTATATTATTATCTTTACATACGTACCTACCTCTAATCTCTAATCATTTTTTTCTGGTCGCCCTGTTTTTATTCTTGTTTTAATTCTCAGCAACGTACATTTGCAAATCTTTCGTTTTTCGTTCATGCAATATATCATAACCGAAAGAGTCTTTTTGTATGAACAATATTGCTTATTTCTCTTTTTTCACACAAGTCCTTGAGGTGTGTCAGGCCATATATAGGCTTGGGGTGTAGCTGTTTCTTTTTTTTTAAACCGATCTCTAATGCCATATTA